CGCTCTTACATTTGGTACGGCAGTAAAACCAGTTGGCTTTAATGGACTTTATTTTTAAGTTTGCATGCTTTTCCTCCACCCCCATACTCCCACCAAAGACTCTTAATCATTTGTAGTAATTACACAGTTCACAGCTCAGTAAGTCTTTCTAAGCATTTTCTTTGAAAAGTTCAGATGGGTCCTCAAGAGGTGGACCAGAGTAAGAGTAAGAGTAGGGAAATGACACAGCCTGAGCATCTCCACTCTAAGCATCTCCATGCTGTTTGTGAGATATAAAGCTCAAAGCAAGTTTCTGGTCATTGCTGCTAGATCCCATTAGCAAAAAGTGATGCGGCTGCTAATTGTTCAAGTATTTGAAAAGAGATGACCTGAGGTCTTGTTTACACTGAGCTGAAAACTGTTTTATTTTATGCCTGACCGGAAAGAAAAGCTCAGGATGTGTGACTTTAAGTGTCCAATATCTGTATTAGAAATGTTAGAGTAAATGGTCTTAAAGCTCCAGTGTAAATGCGGACTTCTCTGCCTGCACCCTTAGCTGTCTGCCAGACAGGCAAAACCCATTAGCAAGGCTCTGTTAGCAATCGTCTTGTAAACCGAGACCCCAGGCATTCATTAGGCATCAATCAAAGGACGAGGTGTGATGATTAAATGATGAGTGCAAATGCTTAACAGTGTTCAGTACACCAGGCCACTTTACTCTGACACTTGAAAATGGGGTGGGGGGAAATGGATGGAAGAAAGATGATGTTAGTCTCTGTGGAGATGGCTGGAACTGGATGGTTGCAACTGGTTAATTTATTCATGCAAGTTATTAAAGAAAGTGAATTTCAAAACCTTGAAGTCAAAGCTTGATGATGCCGCCAATTGCTAGTGGAGCGAAGAGAAGTTAAAGTGCTCGCATTGTCTCTCAGTAATCATCATTAAACTGTACTTAGTTCAGGAATTTGTAGACTTTCTTCCAATTTCACAGCTCAGAACATTTCAGTGAAGCGGCCGTAGTATCCGAACAAAGTCTGTGATTCTCCAGTGTTCTGAAACCTGTAACAATAACAATGAATACATCAGTTTTAAATAACTCACATGACATA